CAAAGCGTACCGTGCACTTATTAGGAGGAACAACATCAGCATGATCAGACGACGATTGTTCGATCTGAAACTTGAGAATGGAGTAGTTCCATTCGTCCAACACGTCATCCATTTCATAGGTCGTGTTTTCGAGCCACGTCAGCCAATCTTTGATGCTCTTTTCCTTATAACCCTTCTTCTCCGCATCTTCCAACACGTTTCTGACTGTGTTCAGATCAACGGAAAGTTTGAGAACCTCCTTCTTAACTCCTCTCACCAAATTTACTTCGTCTCGGATCTTCTCTTCCACGAGAGCTGCAATGCGCTCCAACACAACGGAAACGATAGCATCCGCCATGAGTTTTTTTTTTTCCTTTTTTCTTTGTGAATTATATGTGTGTATATTATTCCTTTGTGATGGTATATAGAATGAACCAATAATTGATAAGGTGGAGAAAATATGCAGAAATAAAGATGAACAAAGACACAAAAGTTTTGTGATTGATCAATTTCCATGCCCCCACTTTTACTTTTGTAAATTGCACACAGCTAGCTGTGGGACAACAATTATTGCTCAAACTTTCAATTTTTTTTTTGCGTTTTATTTCTCACATATATTTTCAGTTTTAATTGCATGTTAGCTTCAGACTTCAGTTTAAATTAATGTATTTAAAGTTTTAAATTTTCAAAGATATATTTTTATTATGCAGGTAAACCTCTATAAATTAATTAATACAGTGGTGACTAGGAAAATTTTATTAATTTAGCGAATTATTAAATTATCGAGTTAATAATTTAGCATGTTCTGACCGAGTCGGGACCGAGAGAAACTATTATTTAAGTGAGGTTATTAATTTATCGAGTATTAATTTATCGAGGTTCTACTGTATTAAAATTATTATTTAGTATACAATTTAGGGTAAATTACAAAAAAAAAAAAAAAAAAAAAAAAAAAAAAAAAAAAAACTGAACTTAGGGTAAATAACGAAAAATACCCCCACCTATCCGAACCAAAATCCCTTTATGATTAACTATTGATCGAGTTTTTTTTAACAAAAAAAAAATGTGTACAATCTATTATACTATATGTTAATTAATAGTTGAGAAATAAAATAAAATATCTGAAATCGTGTAAAGTCTATTCCCTGCCTGGAATAAAAAAAAAATCCGTGAAAAATCACACTGTAAAAAGTTTGTGTAAAACATAAACAAATTTCAGGGGGTTTTTAATAATTACGAGTAGGTGAAGCGTTTTTTGTTATTCAACCTAAGTTCAGGGGAGTTTTCATAATTTATCTCGAAGGTATTACATATAGAAGTAATAAGAATAATTTGAGACTTCGTTTTATTTCATCATATTTTGTAACTGAATAAATATATTTTCCAGTTAATAATTAAATGAAGAATAATTGGTTAGGTTGGAGATACATGCACCCACTTTTACTTTTGTAGTAAAACTTTACAGCAGTAGGTGGGACGAGACGATTGCTCCCAGACCTACTAGTCAAACTTTAAAAGTTAATGGGGTCACAATTCTAATTATTAATGTTTTTAAAAAAAGATTTAAGGGTAAATTACGGCCGCCCTCCTAACTTATGGTAATTACGAAAATCCTCCTCATGTTTTGGGTAATTGTAGTATCGAACCGTCTCAGGTTCGAGAATCGCCGCATTCTATTCGTGAGGAAGAATTTCTTGGACAATACACGGCCGCGACCACTTTGATTTGCGCTTCCTTGGAAATAACCAAAGACGGGATTTGCACAATAATACTAATTGTCCTTTGTGCAATTCCTTTTTGATTTTCTCCTTACGACCACAATAGCTTGACTCATCCTTCTCTCGTGACTTGCTCGAGTCTTTGGGTGGTAACATCTTCCTTGCATTCTCATCGTCGTTAAGACTCAAACTCGTATGACTTTCTCTCGGATGAGTTGAAATTGAGTCCATGAAGTAAACTTGCTCCTTCCGATTTTCGTTTCCGCCATCATCTCCTGTACTCAAAGATGCTTTCTCATTGTCCAAGATCGAAACATCAAATTTTTCATTATTTGTAAAATCCATAAGCTCAATATCAAAACAATCATTATTATCACATGGATTTTTATTAACACTAAAAACATTGAATTTGATTGTTTGATCATGCACAGTCATTGTAAGATCACCACTAGCACAATCAATGAGAGTTTTCGACGTGGCTAAAAACGGTCTCCCTACGATAAGAGGTATCTCCCTATCCTCATCTATATCTAGTATCACGAAATCAACAGGGAAGATAAATTTATTGACTTTCACTAGCACATTCTCTAAAATACCTTTTGGGTAAACTAAAGATCTATCGGCTAATTGAAGAGTTATAGCCGTCGGTTCAATTTCTCCTAACCCAAGATTTTTAAAGGTTGAATAAGGCATAAGATTAATGCTAGCGCCTAAATCAATGAGCGATCTAAAATTTTTACCTCCTATAGTACAAGGAATAGTAAACTTACCTGGATCGCCGAGTTTTTGTGGAAGAGGCCGAGTAAGAATTGCACTAATTTGCTCTGTGAGTTGGATCATCTCGTTCCCTTGCAATTTCTTACTTTTTTTCACGAGGTCCTTGAGGAACTTCACCCACTTTGGCATCTTTTGAAGTGCTTCAATGAAAGGAATATTTATGCGAATTTCCTTCAACTTGTCCAAAAATCTTTGATATTCAACATCGAGCTTCTTCTTTACAAATTTTTGAGGATAAGGAATTGGAGGGACTTGTGAAGGCACCGTTGATGGTGGCTCTTCATGAGTTGATTCTTTTTCCTCATTCACTTTCGGCTTCTCGATTACCGTGGTTCTCTTCTCTTTTTGTGGGGCTTCCTCCAATTTCTTGCCATTCTTCAAGGTGACTGCTTGGCACGTCTCGACCTCGATCTTTTTCGTTAGCAATCTTTGTGGATATGGGATTGGTTCGACCCATTCGGCTACAGTGACTTGCGGCTTGATTTGAATTTCTTCCCTTTTTTCGCTCGTGACATCGATAGCTTGGCACGTCTCGAACTTTTGATTTCGAGGATCTTCCGTATTCGATGGCAATGCTCCCGGCGGGCGGTTCTCTTGCTTCAAAGCAAATTGAGCGAATTGATTTTCTAAATTCTGCAGCGAAGCTTGGGTAGCAGTCATGAATTGGGCCAATATCTCCTCCGTGCTTGATTTTTGGGCCGGTGTATTGTTGCCTTGATAGCTTTGTTGAGGAGGAGCTTGATTTTGGAATTTACCTTGAGGTCTTTGATACCCTTGGCCTTGTTGATTTCCTCCATATTGCCCTTGTGATCTCCACCCTTGATTTTGGAATTGGCGAGGTGCATTGTTGACGTAGTTGAGCGACTCCGCATCTTGTTGGCATTGGAGCGTGTAGTGATTTCCACCGCAAATTTCACAACATGGAGACTCAACGGCTTGGACTTGTTGTGGTGGACTTGCTTTGATGTGCTGCAGAAGGAGTTGATTTTGTTGAGCAATTTGGGTCACTTGAGCTTGAAGGGCCGTAATTGCATCTAACTCCAACACTCCGGGAACTTTCTTGGCTCCACTAACCGCCCTCTCGCTCGACTTGGCAAACCGATTTTGTGCAATTTGATCCAACATGATGAAAGCATCCGGTATCGATTGACTCATAAAATTTCCCCGGTTGATGCATCTAAGACCGTTCGTGCATTCTCGTTAATCCATTGGTAGAAGATGTGGATTTGCCGCCATTGTTCGACTCCGTGTGTTGGACACTGCCGCAAAAGAGTTTTAAATCTCTCCCATGCCTCGTATAATTGCTCGCCTTGCTCTTGGAAAAAAATATGAATTTCTCGTCGGATTCTCTCGTCCTTCTCGGGTGAGCTGTAAACTTTCATGAAAAGGTTGAGGAGTTGAGACCACGACGAGATAGAGTGGGGGGCTTGGGACATCAACCACTGGCGAGCTCTTCCTTGTAAGGAGTGTTTGAAGAGGATCAATTGTAGCGCCTCTTGGGAAACGCCGTTTTGACGGTGAGAATTACAGGTATCTAGAAAATTGACAATGTGAAGATGGGATCTTCACCCGCCAACCCACTAAATAGCCCGTTATTTTGGAGCATCGTCAAAAGGCCTTGCTTGATCTCAAAATTGTGCGCCTCAATGGGTGGATATTGGATGCTAGGGCGGAATCCGTCATGAGTCGGGATTATGTAATCTTGAAGTGCCCGTGGCCTAACTGCTGGTTGTGCTGGAAGTTGAGGGGGTGGGTCTTGGACTTGGTTTCCGTTGGCCCCGAGTAAATTACCCGCTGCCCTGCGTTCTTCGTCCTCCATTATATTGTTTGTGCGTTGAAGTCTCCTAGCCGCTCGAAAAGTACGTTCGATTTCGGGATCAAACGGTTCTCTAGCAAGATCGAGTCTTCTACGCATACACAGTACCTAAAAAGAAAAATAAAATAAAACAAAAATTAAATGGGTGAATCGTGAAAATTGTTCAAATCTAGAGCTAGAATAAAATAAATAATTAAAATAATCCCCCGCAACGGCGCCAAAAACTTGTTGGTCGAAAACCTACACGCAAGTGCACGTATCGTACAAGTAATATAGTGGACAATTAAGTCCGGATATCGAACCCACAAGGAATATTTAATTATCTAATCATAGACGCTAAATTCTACCAATTATTATCAAGCCCACCCTACACAGTCGAATAAGGATTAATAAACTAAATTAAAAACAAGCAAAAACAAGAAAACAATTTAAAACGAAGATTAATCAAAGTAGACAAGCCTAGGATTTTATTCTTCCCCCTATGTGATTATTACTCCCCCAATTCCTTCAATTATGCAAGCAATTAACCCGGATTATTAACCTGAGATGCTAAAATAATCATAACCCGCTTCCGCGTGTATTACAATTCTAATACTCTAGATTCAATTACTATATTCATATGCAATTAATTCTAGAACACAGCATTAAACACAAATCTCAATAATGGCTACCTAAGAGATTAACTATATTCCTATGTTAATACCACAAAGGCTCTTTTACCACAGTTCTAATTATTAACCCGATCTTCCGATTCATTCGATTAACAATAACATAAAAGCACATAAAGTGGCCAGTTTCATGAACTTAATAAAACAAGAAGAAGAAATAATCCGGAATTAAAACTTGCATAAAATCATAGAATTGGGTTCATAAATCCCACATAGGGTTCCAAATAAAATCCTAGAAATAAGTAGTTTAGCTACTCTTGATTAAATCAAAAACGCAAATAAAATAAATCATAGACGATAAATATTTGCTTGGAGTCTTCGAATTCTTCGTCTTTGTTATTGCTTTGTGGCTCTTGAAATTGCGTAAAAAGATCCCCAATTGTGTGCTTGGATTGGTCTTATATAGGGTGAAGAACTTGGGGAAGAAGGCAGTTTCCTTGTGCAATTAAAATCCCTTTACTGCGCAACTTCGGGGTATGGGACGGGGGTCCCATAATTTGCACTAAAACTGGGACGGGGGTCCGAGCCTTGTTTCTTCAGAATTTTGATATTTTCACTTTTGACCCATATTTTCGCCAAAATTGCAGTTTTGACCCATACTTTTCCAATTCTTCAATTTGTACCTAAAATACAATAAATCAACTTTTTAAGCACCAATTATCATTAAAACACACCAAAAGCCCAAATAAAAAGGTACGATAAAGTGTAAAAATATACACTTAACAACAACTCCTATATTTTGGGGTGCAAACTGTATTTAATCCTTTTGTAAATCATATCGGATATTGATCTGGACAAATACTGGATCATGGTCAAAAATCTGGTTTTATGAGTTATAGTTTTACGGTGCAACCGGTCCAAAACTCAGAGTTTTCAGTAAAATCCGATTTTTTGTAATTTACCGTTTTGTAGCTCACAAACAGGACCAGGCGGTCTGGGCTAGGCAATAGTACATTGTCCAACGGTTGAGTCGGGCCTGTCCGATTCGAGTTTCAAAAACATTGAAATTTTGATTTTTCAAAAATTAGAATACTATAAGATGAGATTGGATTATGTTAAATTAGAGATTACAAGGCATTTAGTGTCATATATAACTATTAATGCTAGTTTTTAATAATCTAACTAACTATAATGTAAGGAATTAGTATTATCCAAACTTATTAAAAATGTATTTATTTTAGAAAATACGAGAAAACCCGACCCGAATTTCATTTTATCCGAAGCCCAGCCCACCAAAACTCAAACCC